GCTTATTTCCTGCCGCAATTCTCCGGAGCGGGGAGCTAGGCCACGCGTTTTGCTACCTGTCTATTTAGGTAGTGTAGGCGACGAGTCGGATTATTGTCACCCTCTACATGCAATGCAGCCTACTATTCCACCCCTTCGGATAACACGGACTAAATACCTCATTATGTTATATTTTGTAATGATGACCTTGATTATTAAAGCACTGTGCCGTAGGCAAGGGACTTCTAATTGTTATGGATAAGTACTAGCCTCCGTCCTAACTCCCCAGCTCATATGCACGTAAGTTGGAGGATCTACCCATCTTGTAGATATACCCAATCTCAATGTAACATTATCGTATCAATATTAATTTCGCACTGTATCATCTAACTTGATTGGCGCGCTATTCGATATATTCCTACCTAACCTAGGTAGGTAGGCAATAATACATTAAGATGTCCTTTTGTCCTTGACTGTCAGCAGACCTGAGACTGTTTGGACACATTAACCTGTTTTCAATTCCTTGCTCATCGTAATTGTATGAGAGGTAGTCTAAAACCGGTCTTGAGGGTGAACAGAATTTCAAGATTATTCAACGAAGACTCGTATTCTGTGCTATTATTGATTGAGCGGATACGTTTGGCAATAGTCATTTCTCTCTCGTAGATAACTTCGTTAAATTGTATAGTTACATTGTCTTTTTTTATAACTTTTCAACTCCTATATACACCTTCCAATTGTTTTTAGGCCCAAGACTTATCATCTATATCGGCGGGAAACGCCGCGTTATAATACAGAGGATCGGTTGACGAGCCGCTAGATTTACATGATACGACAACTTCCAGGGCCGTATGACGTGATGCCTAAATTCGCAAAAATCAATAATAACTCCTATTATCGGTAGATTGCGCGCGGCTATCGACTTTGGACCTTCCTGTATCCCGTAGCTCGATCTGCGATTCGTTCAGGGGCTGAAATCCTCCTTTACTAGGTGTCTGCTTGTGGCCAAACGTCGGTGGGTTTGATTGAGAGTCATACGTCGTAGTCTTCGAAGTCGAAGTTAAACTAGACCACACTTTCGTGACACGTCCTGCAACTAACTTCATAGAATGGCCGAGTGCTGGCAGCGATGCTCCAATGAGGGCGACAGTAGGCTCAACTTGAGATGGAATCCAGAATGTCTCGCCGTAACCAGCGAACGACCCGGCAATAAAGCGGGAGGCGAGGTATTGGAAAACTAAGAACTTCTGTTAGATAAACAGGATCAAGATGAAAAAAGTCTTGATAATACTAACAGACGGGATCCGTAACCACAAATCTTCGAATGCCGTCCACAAACAGAGCTAACTTCAATGCAGCAGCAATGCTGGCCCTGAATTTTATATAAGTTTCTGCTCGAATACTCTGGAGGGGAACTACTCACGCTGCACCCAACATGAAGATAACCAGGATACCAATACGTCTTCGCCAGCCCATATTGAGCTTCAAAACCGGGTATATTGGGAATAGGAGCAAGACGACGTCGTACGCTAAGCTAACGCTGTAGAGGCCGATCGTCGAGTACGTATAGTATAAATCGTTGCAGTGTAGAGGATGCTGTAGAGGGTCCCATGCCCAGTAGAGTGGTTGGCAAGCCCAAATAGGTGTAATAGAGAAGACCACGACGTAGACACCCTGCAAGGCTAAAAACGCATATAGAATCCGCCTGATCGTGACATTGTTACCGTGTCCAAATATGCGCAGGTAGAACAGGGTGATAGACACTCGGATCGTGCCTGACATTATAGGGTATAGCCATGCCGTCGCTACGATTCCCTTATACCATAGAGAATACTCCGCTATGGTGATTTCCCATAGAGGTTTATCGACTCCCGCATTGAGGTTTATATAGGCTGCTAGACTCGACCAGCCGATGTACAATATCTATCCGAAATGAGAAGCGATCGTCTGTAACGGAGTGTCGTTAACTTACAGTTGCCGGTATGATGGCATAATCATCCGGTCCCAGGTTTTTGGATCGGGCTCGAAGTGTCAAGCGTGCTACGACGAACCCGGTAGTAACAATGCAGAGAGCTATACAGGCCGCTGCGATTCTGTATACCTTATGGGTGTCGTTGACCTCCGTGGGAAAGGGGATCAGTTCGTCTAGAGGCACAGATGCAGCCATATCTTGCGACGATGGACGGTAGCACAGCAGTCAAATTAGAGTAGAGGAAATCGAGTTCAACTCTGGATGAAACTTGGGGGGGTATGATTTGGGATTTGGGGGAGAAATGTAAGCCACCTCAGTGATCTCATAGGTGCACCAGACCTGCCTTATAGGATCGTACCTTTTTTACGGAGGGGTATCGCGAGAATGTCTCTGACATATAATGCGCCGTAATGATTAGGAATCTCTAACACAACGGCGATGCAGAACTCCTTCGACTACAACGCCCATATCTTGATATGAAATAACTTACCATATCAGGAATACATTAAGGTCTGCTTGGGACTATTGATTCTACCCCAGAGACGGGAAGGCGACGAGCCCAGACATGTGAGATCCCACATCAGACAAAAGGACGACCCCTCCAAGACCCTCTAGGTCGGGAAAAGGTAGCACTGCATCTGGAGCCATGCTGACGCTTAGTTCATCATACCCTCCATCACAACGAGTTGTCCAATAGAATGCCCAGGAATAAAACCGTTAAAGAAACCGTTCCATTACGGTTGAGGTGGCGGGCTATAATTCTGATCTTAACGTCCCGCCACTTTAGGACTCTTTCTATTTAAAGGATGACTAGTTTAGTTCTGAGAGCCTGGATATTGTACCGAATGCTACCCAATTAATAAGTACTACTACATCCTACAAGCTCCTGCAATGCGCCTGCAATGCGCCTCTTTCTAGCATTCATCCGGATGCTTCGACATTCCAGGCCACCAGCCCGCTTCATTGCCACTATGTGATGTAACTCAATGCATCAGAAGCGTGGGAAGGTAGGATAGAATCTTGTATATATCGAATGATATTACTTGTTTGGTTATACAAATCAATTATCTCGTCAGATTGAGTGCAACTCCTGGTCTCATGATTGGATGTGGATGTATGTAGACCGGCTCGATCAGACGTATGGATAATGAAGTAGGTATTAGCAATTCATCTACTGAATAGTAGGCTAGAACGAAGATGGATTATATACCGAGGCTTGCAAGTATGTACTCAAATCTAAGATTGCTCGATAAGCTTAATCATCCTACCAACGCCTCTTCCACCGAATCTTCATATCCCGGTCCGGGGGCGTTGATACCGTGCCGGCGAAGTCTTTACTGTTTCTTGGTGGCCGGTCAGACTTCTTGCCGTCCAAAGTTGTCCACTCGATGAATTCTATATCGAATTTAGACACTATGATAGCCAGGCCCATGATGATTTGTTGCCTCGCAAAGTGCCGCCCAGGGCAGACCACATTACCTCCTCCTAGTGATTCAACCGTGTTAGCCAATACACTCTTGTGGTAGTAATAGATTATACTTGTAAATTTGACCGCGGGGGAACTCACCGAATGGAAAGAATGAACTAGGACGAGCCTTTGCGAAGAATTCTGGCTGCATGGTAGGGTTTCCGGATTCATCTTTCCCTTCCACTAGCCGAATATGCCTCCCCGGCCAGAACTCTGACGCTGGGTGGCCGTTGATAGCCCAGCCTCTTCATAGTGAGCTACGTCCGTGGGAGCCTGTATTAGCGACCCCTTTTCTATACGATAGCCACCAATGGAAATAGGTTCCCGAGCCTCTCGTGTTAGCATAAATGATGTGTGCATGCGTAAGGTCTCTTGGAAGATGGCCTGGAATAATGGTGATGCGAGAAGCTTTTGCGTATTAATGTGGCGTTCTCCGGTATTTGCGTCAACCGTAATGGCTTTTTGAGCTTCGACTTGTAAATCTTGTAGAAGCCCAGGTCTCTGCAGAGATTCCATTATGGCCCACGTCACCGACGGGACACTGTTTCCATTGATTCTGTACATTATTAGCACGATATACATAGCGCTACTCTAGTGTAGGGTGTGGACTTACCCAAACAACCTCGCCATGGTGTGGCCGGAGGCAGTTTCGATCGAGAGGTCGTTTTCTTTCATCCATATTGCTATCTCCCGAGAAACTCGTGCACCGAAGTGAACGTCCCAGTCTGAATCTGCATCAGGCCCATTCCAGTCAAAATTAGCCCATGCAGCGTTAAGGTACTTCGCCATCATGGCACGCAGTTTATCTCGCATCTTATACGGCCGAGGGGTAATAAAGCTAGGTAAACCCCAGACTAACTTCCCAAGGTTGGCATCTACGTCCCAGAGAGCATCAACAAGGCCTGGGTTAAGTTCAAGCATTCGAGGTCCAAACATGGTGTTAACGGCACACTCAGGTATAGTATATCTTATAAAGTTGAAAAGGTTGATAGTAGTCCACTCGGTGGTAGGGAATTCGTCAAGCCGCTTCGCTAGCACGTCAAAAAAATGCTGGCCTAGTTTATTGCTGTAGGGAGGCTGGGTGAGATATTTATCGTAGATCTGATGTTCCGTATGCCATAGACGCTTTTGATCTGGGCTGGACATTGTGCCTGGTATGGGAGACGTCAAACGACCAGTTTTGTCGTCTGCAAATCTCTTAGACTCCTCTTTAGGAACCCCCCATAACTTATCTATAAGAATGAGAGGGACTATATTTGAATTCAATGATGAATTTGTGACAAATAGCTTCTGGACAAGATTGGGTCCTGTTATCCAATAGACAGGTCTGAAGGCCAAGTTGAACCTAATAACTCTCCTCTCTCGTAACAAGGGACTATAATAGAATTAGTTTAAAGTGGCAAATTTGAGCAGCTTGGGACGAAGAATCTCACATGGCCCTATCTAGAAAAGCTCCCATATTGGTTAAATTTTGGAAAGTGTTGAATATAAAAGGGATAGGATCTTTGAGTTGCGCTGGTTCTTCTTCCACTTTGCCGATAGTCTCAGTTCGAAATATAGCAGCATAACCAACCCACAGAATAATAGCGAGTGGAATTATGAGGAGTCGCACATCCACCACGCTGGATACGCGGTCATTGATGAAATGAATATTGTCCATAATCGTTCACGAGAGTTCACTGGGTACTAAACCTCATAAATCAATCTTGAATAATGATGTAACTCACATTTCGCTTGTGGAGGGGCTCCCAATTTATAAGGTAGTCTTATTCAAATTAATGTTCAAATAGCCCAACAGGTACCTTTGGATTTGTATCCATACCTTTCACATGTAGAGATCAGCAACTGTAACCATATTCGACTATCCGTAACTATTAGAATAACCCATATAAGGTCTATTTCGGGTAGTGCCCACTTTTATAATTGCGGGACATTGAACTAACAATAATAATGGTATTTGTTAGTGCAAATGTTCACCGAACAAAATAGCGAGGCGCTTTGGCGGAGTGGTTAACGCGATGCCCTGCTATATTCACGATATACCGGAAGGCATTTCCTTCGGGAGCGCAGGTTCGAATCCTGCAGGCGTCGCTTCTAACAAATGTCAATTAATTCCATTTTTATCTTTTTACAATTAATGGAATATTTATTTTTACCTATTTTTACTCCTTATTAATAACTTCACATCCCGTATTATAAGACGAGCTACGTCATTTCTAGTTTTCAATTAATTGAAACACAGATTATAATCCCCGACTTATACTAATCCATAATTCTTATGAGATGACCCGTTAATTCTAAACGACGATTCTTTCGTTTTGAAGATCACGATGTGCCTCTTATTAGCGGAGAGATGAACGAATCGCGTGGTTGAATACGGCGTATATGCACACTCGGTTCTAAGCGAACTCATCGCTATGACCAGTCCGTTGAGTCACGATCACAATTTGATCGTCTTGGCATCTTTAGATGGTAATGCTTCGCAACGACAACACGTCTTTTCAATTTGTGAATAAATACCAGCTCAATTCCGGCGGTTAGATTTAATATTCGTGAATTCTCATCAATACAATTTCTCAACCAACCGCCTACATTCACGGATAGCAGAAGCAATTAGAAAACCCCTGAACAGCCCCACCCGAGATATCGTCCTAGTCATCGCGATATTTCTTAGGGAACTTCACCTGGAGTGTGCCATTGACGATGGAGGCAAAACCTCAAGTTGTCGAGGTGCCGAGTAAACATCAGTTTTCTCGCTCCACGAAAATCCTACTCTGGGTCATCCTACCGGCCATCTTTCTCGCTCTCGGTATCGCGTCGCCCCTAACAGTACTGCTTTCCCTGTTCGTCCTAACTCCGACGTTCTTTCTGCTACGGTATGACCGTGCGCGTCCCGCAGACCAGAGGACGGATATCGAGACCTTCGTTTGGACGTATGTGCTTGTCGGCACTGTTGGAGTCTTCGCTGTCGTTGTTGTTCAGTCCCTTTTATTTTACTTATTCAGCTATGCGCTGTTCCCGTCCTCAGCGCCTGCCCTTCTCGCTGAGTTCGCAAGGAGTGAGAGTCAAGTCGCTAGTCTAGATGCCGAGGCGTTAGCTTGGAGGAGACAGATTGCTAGTAGTTGGCAGTATTGGACTTTTATGTTCTTGTTTGCGTACCTTGGTGCTAGTATTCCGGAAGAGCTTCTCAAGTATTCTGGTTTAGCATACGCCCGACGCAGGGGGCGCATTACACATGAGCATAATTATATTACGTTGGCAGCCGCTGCCGCTCTAGGCTTCAGTACCTTCGAGAACATCGGGTTCATCTATGCAGCCGTGCAGGAGAATAAGGGTGTTGCTCATCTTTTGCTAGCCATTGTTGAGCGTGTAGTTATTGGTTCGCCCATGCATCTGATGGGCGGCCTACTTATCGGCCTGGGCACCGCCGGGCGGGACTTTCGCGGGAAGACCTCGAGTCTAGCACAGATTATAGGTCTTCCTACCCTCATCCATGGGGCCTGGGATTTCTCCCTATTTGGCACCAGTGCCTTAAACGGGAATGTCGGATGGATCCACCCGTACGGAAAGTCGTTACTAGTTGTTCTCGTCATTGCTGTTATTGTCGAAGGTACACTGCTTCTCGTCGTCCGGAGACGGTTTGCTAGCTGGAACTCTCACAAGGTATGTTATCTTCCATAATACTCGAGCTTAGGATAGCTAGGTTAGTATGGATTAAATTGAGGCTAACTTGCAATAGAGTAAAACGAAGTAAATAGCCTACGAAGGGAATTTTAGGATACGAAGGAAGATGTATTTTATCAGATAGACTCAGCTCATCACTTGCATATATGATACCCTACTCCATATATCTCACGGCCTATAGTATCTTTGCTAACATATTATTAAAGAGAGTACATGTTTTCTTTCGCAACTGTTAGTATCTAGTAACTAAGAGCCTGTCTGAAATTTTTCAAAACTAAGCAGAGTTCAGAGCCAACTCCTTAATAATATATCAGCTGCCCTTTCTCCAACAGCCAAAGCTGTATCGTTAGTGTTCGCTGCCACATTACGAGGTGCAATACTAAGATCTGCAATCTTAAGGCCCTGGACCCCATACACGCTTAGGCTAGAGTCAACTACGCCCTTCTCAACTTGTGGAAGCATCTTGCACGTCCCGAGCGAGTGCCAAGTGGTGATCTTCGTACCCATTTCCAACACCAGGAAGGTCGACTACAACCGGAACACCAGCACATTCTAAGACATTCTTCTCGCCTATACCCGATCTCTCTAAGAGAGACGGCATGCCACAGGCCCCACAAGACGCAATTACTAATTTGTCTTGACACTACGGGAGACTTGATCAGTATCATCGGGGTGAAAGAGCGGGTTATGCCTAAACTCGACTCCCACAGCCTTCTTCTCGTCCAACGGGATACGTATAACCTACGATTCAACAAGTATATGCAAGTTTGGGTGTTTCTCGTCGCGAATACGGGGTTGAATATAGCATGATGCTGCATCCCTGCGCTTGCCGTCAGGCGAGATAAAGTGTTTAGCTCTCCACAAGGCATTGACAGAGTAGAAGTCTGATAGATCCTCGACCCCAGGCCAGCCTAGTTTACTTGCAGCTGCAATACACTCATCTGCAATCTTGGCCGAAATATGTGCCACGAGATATATGAATTGGGCCGTCATTGCCGTGGACACCCTTTTCATCTTTGCCATGGTATGTTTCGAGTTGTGAAATGGGTGTTAAGTAAGGATTATCAACATTATTCAATAAGAACAGTTACCTTTTTCAGATATGGCAGTATGTCATCTGCTGACCATCCTAGCGTTTCCCACGAACCCCAGTCGGATCGCTGGGCTCGACTATACATCATCATATCAGTAAACGAGCCTCCCCCGAGCACACCACCAGCCGGCATAATGAGAGCTCTTTCCGCCACCTCCGAAGACTACTTTGTCATATAGAAAAGGTTCGTCTTGCTATCGGGTGCGAGATGTGACATGAAAAATGCAGCATATTCAATAGTAGGCATCTCATTGTTTGAACCGCCTTCAATCAGCAAGATAGATAGCCCAGGATGCGCGTCCGCAAGGCTAAGGCAACGACGCAGCCAGATGTTCCGCCTAATTTGGGACGTATCTGTTAGTATATTTCTACGGGCCTAGGGGCTTTGACGAATGATTCATACCTCCGGCAATGATGACATCGACTTCGTCAACCGCCTCCGGTAGTTTTGTGTGTAACCCCATGGTATGAGAGAAGATTGCAATCCAGTAGCTTAGTTAGTTAGGTAATTATGAACTAGGCACAGATTAGAATTCTAACACTTTGAAAATTTAGAAGTTGTTATCCGGTTCGAAGGGAGGGGTTTACTCGAAGGCTATATAACATGTAGGCTACACACTCCTAGGGGCCTCTACATGAGGACAGGTTGGACAATAAAGCGAGAAGGCTCTAAAGGCGCGATTTCAACTAGGTCTACGTGTACCGCTTATACATTGTCATAACATTCTACATGCTATAAATAATCCGATCAGGTAAAATAAATTACGCTATGGGTGCTTCCCAATACTAAGTATTATTTGTTACGTCTTTGTTGGTGCAGTTGTCGTGTTTATTATCCCTTGCTTACCAAGTCACTGCAGGCTATCCCTCTCAGGCGAAAATTTAAAGTAGTTTTGTGGCTCATTTACCTTAGTATATTTCTGTATCTTGATTTTAGATTCTAGAGAGTCGAGCCACCATGTTGCTTTTGTTATAGAATAACATGGCTTCTTTGCTCTAGACAGACATTGTTATTGTCAAGGCTGAACCTTTCCTGTTTGAAAGTGATGATTCAGTTTCTAGATACAGAGCTGAGAGCAAGAAATACTTGGTTAAATCTATATTCAGGTAGGCGTCTATCTTCGGTGCATAGCTTGAGTAAGAATTCAACTAATAAAACCCGAATAAATTCATTCTCTCCCTTGTTTCAAGCAATCACATTATACAGAAAATCCTTAAGCCGCCCCCGTTATACACAAACCGCACCTTTCCCTCTAAGTATACTACGCGCTTTTTATCTACGCATAATGAATAGGTATTTACTCAAGGCAGTATCCTACTCAACGTAGCTCATATAATTCAAGGGTTCCGTAATACTTTTACTACAGTATAATAAAACCCCATAACCTTATGGCTCCAACATCAACAGTTAGAATACCACTACAACTCATGTTAGGGTATAGGTGGTACTAGTATGAAATAGATATAGATCCACACGAAATAGATATATAAAAGGCGCGTAGCGCCGTCGAAAAGAGTAGAAGGTTAAGTGTTAAGAGATTCATACTACTACACGGCTACTACATAGCAGCGAAACTGCTGCTTCTAACATTTACTCTACGTATGACAGCCATTAAGGGGTATTTCTGACAACTCCCCACGGATGTAGGAGCCCAGAGAAGCTTGGTGTAAGAAGGGGACTCTTCAACATCTAAGTTTATCATAAAAGGCGTAATAATTGAATTATTGCGCAGCTTTTTTGTTTAAACTTTTTTTTCAGCTTGAGATGTTACATGGGTAATTTATGAAATTTGGAATTTACTTTCTTAGCCATATGCACTATGAAATCAAACATCACGTTCCAATGGAATAAGAGGATTTTATTTGATGAATATTATGCATGTAATATCGGTAGTAAAGCTGAACTACAGCCACAATGTAACCCACCGATCATTTTGACTCAATTACGTTGAGGTTATGGATTGCGAAAATCCAACTAGTCTACAGCCTGCCTATTCATGACAACTTTCAAAGCCGTCTATGCCTCTTGCCTCCCCCTCCCCCCCTCTCGCTATGTTTTCCCCTTCCTCTCTCCCTTCTCCCTCTTTCCCTTCTTCTTACAACTTGCTCATAGTGTTACGAAAACTCAATAATCTATTAACTTAAGATCTAAATACATACAGAAATGAACGATACCCTACCTCCACTCAAGCTCCTTTCCATAGGTGAATCGTCAACTCTTCCGCCATTCCATTAGAAAGTAACTAACTCTTATAGATGGAGGAGGTGTCCGGGGCCTGGCTAGTTTGATTATTATCAAGCATTTGATGAGACAGGTGAACCCAGCCAACCCTCCGAAACCTTGTGAGTATTTTGACTTAATAGGAGGCACAAGCACTGGAGGGTAGGTATCCCAATCCGACAATTTCATGCAAATAAATTCTAAAAGACTAGAATAATCGCTATCATGCTTGGCCGCCTTCGAATGGACGTTCAGACCTGCATTGATAAATACATGACTTTATCATCAGCCATCTTCCAGCGCAAGAGACACTGGTTCCAATTCTTTCAAAGATACAAGGACAAGTGGGAGATTCGGGGAAAATTTCGGTCAGATGCACTTGAGAGGTCGATACGCGATGTAATTCAAGAAGTGTTTGGCGACTCTGAGGTGGAAATGCTTGACGACCCTACGACTTCTTGTAAAGTGTGGGTGGTTATAGATAAACTCTGAAATCATCACATAATGCTAATCATGGAGCCCAGGTTCGTTTGCACCTTTATTAAGAACCTCCTCGCTCCTGTTCTCATCAAGTCGTACCAAACACCCGATGCTGTGGACGCTCAAGCGCTTGCCGGATGTGCCATCTGGCAAGCTGCTCGAGCGACCTCGGCTGCGGCAACTTTCTTCGACACAATCAGAATCGGAAATCAGACATTTGTTGACGGAGCCTTCGGCTGCAACAATCCCATTTATGAAGTTTTTGATGAGGCTAAGTCGATCTGGCCTGACGCTATTACAAATGCGCGCGTACAATGCATAGTCAGCATTGGTACTGGTCTGCTAGACCTAAAGAACTTTGGGGATAATGCTGTCCAGTTGGTGGAAACCCTGCAACATATTTCTACCGAGACAGAGAAAACGCATAAAAGATTCCTTGAGCACCATGAGCATCTTGGCGTAGGCAGCAGGTATTTTCGATTCAACGTTACCCAAGGCATGTCAGACATTAAACTTGGCGAGTCTGAGCGTCTAGACGTTATCGAAGCAGCAGCAGAGCTCTATCTAAACGAGCGTCTGGTCAAAGACTCGGTGAAAATGTTTGTATCGAGCAGGGCACCCATGAACCGTACGTAGTACATTCAATCAAATGAAATTATTATCCTTATACGTGATATAGGTTTACTCTCCCAAGAAGAAAAAGGTCGATATCTCGAGTGGCTACGTCCTATGTATACATCCCAACTCTTTTGTAACGCCCGAAACCGTAGAAAAGTGGAAAGCAGATGGTTTATTGAAGGGCCTCTGAGGTCCTGGATGAACAAGAAAAACTCGGCTTTATGGCTCGTAGGTAAACGTCAGTCACCTGCATTAGTTGATATATCATCTTTAATATCCTGCTAACTTTAATCTACAGCTGGGGCCGGAAAGACGATTCTAAGTACATCTGCAGTTGATCTTCTTCAGAAAGACTCTGAGGTTACCGTACTATACTATTATTTCTCTTTCGCGGATAGAGAAAATCAAAGCGTCGAGAAGTTTAAAAAGCTCTACTAGCTCAGCTGGTGCAATCTCTCATCCATGAGAATAAGGATAAAGGGGGATTCTGGCACATTCCGGTCGCCTTCCAGCGTCTGTATAGCAACTATCAACGACCTGAGGACCTTCCAATAGAACGCGTCGAGGAGACATTCTGGGAGCTACTTAAGGAGTCACCCCAAACTTACATCGTGGTTGATGCATTAGATGAGTGTTCTTGCCCAGACAACTGCGCATCGGTTCTAAACTACCTGGACGAATTTCGGAAGTATCCGCATGGCAACAATTGTACAATGATAACTAGTAGGTGGCTAGATATGATCGAACGGGAAATGCAGCATGAAACCAGGATCATGATGGAATCTGAAAAAGTTAACCGAGACATCAAGAGCTACCTCGACCTTGAGCTAAGTTCGCGGACCTATAATTGGTGGACAGACGATTTGAAAGCTCGAGTGACACAAAAGCTTATTGAGAAAGCCGGTGGTGTCTTTCGTTGGGTTGCACTCCAAATTATCAACCTCCAGTCATGCGGACGACCGGTCGAAGTAAATAAGGCCCTTGAAGAACTGCCTGAGGGGCTTGAAGAGACATATAAGGTCATGCTGACTAGGATCCACCGTCGTCACCACCAGCCAGTAATATCCATCATCAAGTGGCTTGCCTATTCCAAGCGGCCACTCCTTTTCAGTGAGGTCGCTGAACTTGCCGTATTTCGGAACGAGCAAGACGCGGAGTGTGAATCTATTTCATTCGATCCGCGTGAGAGATTTCCCAACATCCGCAACATTCGATCTATTTTGGCCGGCTTGGTTATGGTTTCCAACGTCGACGACGATTCTGAGATTCTTGAAGATAACGATGGCAGAGTTTCCTTTTCTCATTTTACCGTTCAAGAATACCTGGAAGGACCACATACCTTACCGCCTGAATTTCACCTAGACAAGCTCGATGCCCATCGATTTATCTTAAGTTCGTCCTTATCCTATATTCATTACTATGAACGTGTTAGTGCTCAAGTTTTTGACCTGGAAGTCAATAAGTTGGCGGGGCACAACTTGGGCCTAGACTTCCGTTCGAATATTAAGTCGGGCAATCAATCAAATTTGAGCGATCACGAAGACTATGCACGTTACAAGCCATTTCCGCTTTTGTTATATGCGGCCAAATATTGGTGGAGACACTGTCTCGCGTGTTGCCCAACTGATGAGGAGCTAGGTAAAACGAAGTATGGACTTGACAGTATAGGACCGGTACTTCAGCTTTCTATCGAGACAGGTCTAAATGGGAGAGGATCTGATCGCGTGGACCATCCTTCACAATTAGAATCTCTGTTAACCTCCTCCGTCTCGTCCTTTGAGAAACATAAGCAACGCGTCGCGATTTCAAATTCGACTGGGATACTCCGCATCCTTTGCATGAAGGAGTCAAAACCAATGACTGGAAGATCGTCCAGATCCTCCTCGATGTGGGAGTTGCTATAGACGCGAAAAATGATTACAGCTTGACACCTTTAGCCTCAGCGGCGCGTCATGGATGCACAGAAGTCGTCACATATCTGGTGAAGAAAGGAGCGGATATTGATATCGATGACAAGAACTACACTGCATCTGATCGGACCCGATACATGAGTGCAAATGCTATGAATTATTGCGCCCGATTTGTTAGCCTTGCGAACTTTCACGTCGCCCAAGCAAGACACCCGAATCAAGGTTGGGCTCCGTTACATTGGGCAATTGAAAAAGGACATATGGACTACTAGAAGACTAATAGAACTTGGGGCGGACATTCTCAAGCGCAGTTGGTGGGGCCTCACCCCTCTTGTGTTTGCCATCATCAAGGAACAGGAAGATATCGTCAAAGCAATGATAAAGCGCAGTGGTCCGGCGTGTGTTGCATGGAACTACAATTTGAATGGCTGGCAGACACTTCACCTTGCAGCTATTTATAGGAATGCAGGCATCATTAATATGCTGCTCGAAGAAGGCGCCCAGGTAAACATAAGAGGTTCAAATGGAATGTCACCCTTAGATCTCGCTGCCATCGGGGCGCCGGCGTACTTCTTGAAAAATATACAAGGCGAATTCGATAAAGCAAGTTATACGAGGTACATGGCTCAGCATAGCGTCCACAAGGGCAGTTCTTCAGCGATCAGATCGCTGATTAATGGCGGAGCAGCTATGAAAGGTGAAAGGCCTTCTTTGCAATCCCCTTTGCACTGGGCTGCATTCTTTGGTCAACTAGAGAGCGCAAAGGAGCTCTTAGATAGTAAGGCTGAGTTGGATACTAGGAACGTAGACGACTTGACCCCCCTAGCTATAGCGGCCTTAGAGGGACACAGTTCCGTGGTACGAGAATTGATTTCTCGAGGAGCCAATGTCAATGCAGTCGCCAAGGATAACAAATCACCATTGATACTAGCAACGGTTATGCGACATCCACATGTATTAGGACAGCTATTAAAAGCAGGGGCAGACACTTCAATCAAGGGCAATGATGGAAAGACAGCCTTGGATATTGCAAGAGATGCAGGAAGCCACGACTTGGAAAATATGATTACGGATTTCGGAGTGGGACAAGAGGGTGCGTAGGTCGGAACATGAATCTAGACAGCATATATTCCCTTAATCTCATTCGAGTATCGTTGATTGTAAATTCACATCTTCAAGATCTAAGCAGCAGGAACGTTTGGTCTAGGTAGGTAATCTAGGATGTCTAGTGTCAGAGATACCCCTTGATGGCTGTCATACGTAAAATAAACGATAGAAGCAGCAGCGAAGCTGCTATATAATAGCCGTGTAATAGTATAAATCTATTAACGCTTGACCTTCTACTATTTTTCGAGGGGCGCGCAGCGCCCCTTATATATCTATTCTATGTGGATCTATGCCTAATTCATACAAGTATCATACTAGTATCACTTATACCCTGACAACCTTGTTATAATTCAATAGAATCTTCACGTCTCATATCAAATACTCCCTACAAACGTTGATAATTTCATCATCGAAATACAATCACTAAAAATTCCTACTCGACACTAACACAGTAAAATAACAAGTATATCGTTTATTTTATAAAGTCCATTTTAATTGCTATGGACGGAAATGGTATCATATCTAGCCCAGAAACTCAAGTCATGCGCACGTATCCCTATGGTATACCCTATGGTATACAGCTATAAATTCCCAAAACACCATTGCATAGTGAACCCCATACGAACAAGACGCACCGATATACCTCATAAGGAACCCCGTGTACTCAATGATACCCCGCGACCGAGGATGCGTAAAACAAACGGGTGCTTAACTGCTCAAACCCCCTTCGTCGTGGACAACAGAGGTGTGCCTCTCCAGGTGCTTGGTAGCTTCTTCGATATCCCGGCCTTGCGCCTCGGCGAACCTCTCGGGTCGGCGGACAGAGGTAGAGTCGCGGTCTTTGTGGAGGACCAAGGGTGGGTTGTCGCGGTAGTAAGCATCTAAGTCCTCTAGAGTACGGTTGGCCGTCTCGGGGTAGAAGAGCCATATGATGGGCAAGAATAGCGCGTTTGTCACTGTCCAGATGATGTAGAACTTCCAGCCTAGCTTTTGGATACCGATGGGTGTCACTTCGACGACGATGAAGTTTGTGATCCAGTTCGTCATGGTAGCAACAGCAGCTCCCTTGGTTCGCATAGGAAGACTATAAACAGTCAGCAATTGTTCCTAATTTTGAAGATCTCGCAAGTTGTTGTTATTTCCGAGATGGAATCTTGGACTTACGAGTTGATTTCGGTTGGGTACAGCCACGGGATACCCAACATTCCTAAACCAAAACCCATGTAGTAGATGAAGAACCATACGACGGAAGCCTTAGATACTTCAATCTGGTGAAGGTAGCCAGGCTTCTCTGCGAAGTGGAGTAGGACGGTAACAAGCAAGAAGCAGACCAGTTGGATTGCAGTGGAAACCATCATCATGATACGGCGACCAACTCTTTCCACAAGAGGCGCTGCCACCAAAGACGCGAAGAGGTAAGCGACCGATGCACAAGCAGCAATAAGACGGGCCATGCTCTCGTCTAGCTTGACTGACTCGATCAACACGGTAGGAAGGTAGTAGGACATGATCTGGTTTATGTTAGTATTCTAAAACTTTCCTACAAAAATAGTTGGTGTAAGGGGTATATTATAGTGTGCATTCTTTCTGAATTTATGCTGAAGCGGAGGGAATTGACATTGAAAATCGAGTTAGGTTACTCACTACCTCATAGTTAGCATTTGTATAGAATAAGCTACGGATTGAGAATAAGATGTGCTCTTGTACATACCATTAATGCCACCAAATTGTTGCATAGCTTGAGTACCAGAGCCAAGGATCAGTCGGCGAACTGTTTTAGTTCCGGATTCAGTACGACCTCGAAGCAGATCACCCCAGTTAATCGCGTTTTGGCGCTCGTACTCGATACTAAAGACGATTTCTTCGCGCTCGGCGACGATGTAGGGATCATCAATCGGTTTATCTTCCAAATCCGCCAAGATCTTGATCGCTTCGTCCTCCTGACCATGTGCAAACAGCCATCTGTAGCCAGAGTTAGTAAACCGTACGTATTAAGAAGCT